GCTGTGTGTGGCTGTGTTTGTCAGATTCAATAACCGGGTTGTCTGATCCCAGCAGAGGAGCCGGGCACAGCCCAGCCGCTGGCAAACGCAGCTGGAGAGCAGCAGGAGCTGGGACACCCACAGCCAGGGCTGGCTGTGCTGTGCCTGCTGCAGGGCTGCAGTGACAGGGTTAGACTGCTCATCTGGCACCTCAGAAGCTGGACATCCTGACAACAAGGTGACTTGGACTTCTGTCAGGGGGGAGCACACAGCAGTCCAAGCACTTTGCAGCCCGAGCTGCTGGTGTGGGCTGCAGTGCTGCAGACCAATCTGTGTATGCACGTGCAAAGTGCAGTGGTCTCCAGCCAGCTCTCTGTAATCCTACCGGCCATTTGTAGGAATTTCAGTAGGATTTGTAGGGTTTACAGTGCCCTTCTAGACGGACTGGGTTTGAAGAAGGAGTTGCTGCTCTGCCATCAGCCCTGCTGTACAAACTGCACCTCCTACCCAGCCCTGCCTGCAGCGCTGCAGCCCAGCCCAAGACCCCAGCCCTGCGCCCTGCAAGGCCTTCAGTGGGCAAGACAAAAATCCCAAACAAGACAACAAAAATGAGTCGTTAGAGGAGGTTATGGAGCGCACAAGAGGCAGTGCTCTGACTGACTGAGGATGCTTGAGTGAACACAGCTCTTGAAGGAAACGTTTTCAGGTGCCATACAATAGTTTTGTCCTGTGCTGGGTTAATGCTTTAGCAGGAGGCAAAACATTCCTTCTTCTGCCTGCTCACATCTTTTGCAACACTAATCTCCAAGGAGAGCTGTTTGTTTTGAAACCTTGAGCTCTGTGGGCTCTTGACTGCTAAGCTGGCTCCTAGCTTTGGCAGCTCACAGTAGAAATCAGCGTCATTAAACATTCATATCTGAGTGATGTTTCCTGATTAAATTTACTTATTGCAAGTTTTTGGACCTGGCTGACAGAGCAGCTTGTGTACACATCTAGAATCCATCAACTGTATATATTCATCTAGCTCTGGAAGGCTTTATGGAAGGGTTTTCACTGAATCATTTGACACTCTTACTGAGGACAGGGGTAAACCAGAGCACTTACATTATCTGGGCTGACTTTGTGAACACTTTAGGGACAGTGTTTAAAACTTTGCACGTGTGTTAGAAGCACCAAGAGGTCCAATTCTACTCCATTATGCTCCACTTGGGAAGAGCAGGCGCTGCCCCCACAGCCCTGCCAGACACAGACCCGAGGGGCTCAGGCACCAGGAGGCACAGAGGCTGGGTGTGAAGTCAGAGCTGTCCTTCCTGCCACTCTGCCCAGCCTCAGGGACTCCTCTCGGGGCTGAGCTGCTCCTCCTCACCTGGGCTGCTCCTGACAATGACCTGTGGCAGGAATCTCTTCCCAGGAAGAGAAGGCTCCTGTGGCTCCTGAGCAGGTGGCACTGCTGGAGCTGCCACATCCAGCTCTGCACTAGGGGAACAGGGCTCTCTCCAGTTTCCATCTGTGGTTTTAAAACTTTCAGTCGAATCCTTTGACTGATGTTTTTTTGATCTTCTCTAAATATTAGATGTAACTTACGAGAATTCAGACCTTTGGTCTCCTTATAAGCATATATAGTTTCCAAGGCGAGCCTTTTTACCTGTTTTGAGGGAATGCCCAGGGCATTTTATCTTATCTGTGTATTATTTCCTGTTTAGTCAGTCCTTTAGATCGCATTGGATGATACTCAGATGGCACAGATATTGATCTCTACTATGTTGTGGCTGTAGCTGAGCCTGAAGGAAATCACTCTGAAGCATTCTGGGTGGTGAATTTGGATAATACCTTAATCATGAAGCTGGGCTGTTGTAAATACTTTTCTTTGTTTCGAGAGTTATTGATGGCATTATATGGAGTTTGAATGGGCTTGGATTTACTTAGATAAAATGATGATGATATTCATCTATAGACAGTGCAGGAAGAAGCAGCAGTGTTTATGAGGCTCATCATCTTTCCTTATATCCACCCTTCTCCCCCCACAAAACTGACGAGATTTGAAAGGAGATGACAAATTTCCATTTGAGGATGATGCTGCCTTAAATGGCACAAGGCTCACCTCATACCCTGCAGATATCCTATACCAGGGATGTGATGGATGTTAAAACTGCTTCAGCTGGGCAGACCTGGAAGAATAACTGCAACAGTGCTGCAGATCTGACAATCTCCTTCCTGCTCCTCTGCTTGTTTCCTTTCTGGCTGTGCAGCAAACAGCTTCTCTGTGCTCACGCCATCCGTGACCGGCAGGGAGTTTAGCTTTCTGGCAGTATTCATCTCTGTGACTTTTCCCAAGCTCAGAAATTACTCTCACTAATTTCCTGACTTTTCTGAGGTCACACAAGCCCTGAGAGCTGGTGGCTGTGCAGGGACTGAGCTCTGTGTTTGCACCCTGGGCTGAAAACTCTCAGCATCCATCTGCTGCAGCTGGGCTCCACCACTCAGCTTCCAGCACATGGGAATTCTGCTCTTCCCTCACTCTGAATAAGCAACTTTTCAGTTCAGGCATCTGAATAATCTGTCTGGAGTCGCTGGAATATGTGACTGCCTGAAGTTTTCTCTCCCGCTTAAATACTTTGTTGCTCAGGGCCTAAATTATGACTGAACATAAATGATTAAATGAGTGTTAATTCTCCCTTTTCAGACTTCACACCAAATAAGAAATCACCCCCAACTGTGCTCACATGAAAGCAGGAGTTTATCTCAATATTTTAATTTTGAAATTCAAGCGCCAAACACAGAAAAACCCACAAGGGTGAAAATAATTAGTGCTGTTTCTTACTGAACCATTCTGACTTTCTCTATAATCCTTTTATTTAGGGCTTTAATTATGAATAAATTCTTATTGTAAATATTTTATCATGGAGAGTGGTTAAACAGGACATGTGTGATGAACAGGTCTCACACAGATCTGCTGATATGGCTTGAAACTCACCCATTCCTCCCACAGCAGCACCTGACATGCACCCTGGGGCAGGGCTGACGCCGGATTCACGGGGCCTCAGACACTCCCCAGGTTCCTCCTGGTTTTACCCAGTAATCCCTGCACTGGCCCACGAGCTTCAGCATGACATAAGGACAGTTTATGTTATGCCAATAACATGTAATTGATAATATTTCTACTATAACAGCACATACTGCTTCAGGTGAGCTCAGGGGAAGCCGCAAACCCTCACTGGGCTCCTGGAGCTCACACCTGGGGCTGGCTTTTCCTGGTCTGGTGCATCCTGTGGTCTTCACCTGTGCAATCTGAGCAGGCCCAGTTTGAGCCGGGGCAGTGCCAGATGTGCCTCTCTCAGCAGGTAAGAACCTGACCTTGTGTGGGGAAACTCTGAATGCAGAACCTGCTGCTGAGCTGCTGAGGAGCAGGGGGAGGGAAAGGCCCATCCAAAGTCCACAGGCTGCGTGCTGAGGTGTCCCAGGTCTGGAGCGATGGCTGACGGAGTCACACACACACACACACACACTCTGCTGCAAATATGGTCTGTGGCTAAAATACCTGCTTGAAATGATGGAATTTAACCTACAGAATACACAGAGAAGCAACTCTTCTCCCCTGAGGACTGGAACGGGCTCTGCGTCCCTTGGAGTCACTTTTGACTGCATTTAAAGCCCTGCCAGGTGATGCGCTCTGGAGACGACAGCTACCGAGCGATTTTGACCTGACCGCGTTCTTCTGCGTGAATGAACCGCCGCGACAGCGCTGGGCGCGCTGCGAGCCCCGGTGCAGCCCCGGGGCAGCGCTGAGAGCCCCGGTGCAGCCGATGAGAGCCCCGGTGCCGCCACGGGGCACCGCTGAGAGCCCCGGGGCAGCGCTGAGAGCCCCGGGACAGTGCTGAGAGCCCCGGGGCAGCGCTGAGAGCCCCGGGGCAGCGCTGCGCCCCGGTTCCCGAGCCGCTCTCCGGGGCTGCCGCTCTCCGGCTCCGGCACCGAGCCCGGGGCCGCCTGGCACTCCCGGCAGCCGCCGGCAGAGGGAGCCCCGCGCAGCCGCATCCCGCAGCGATCCCGCAGCGATCCTGCAATGATCCCGCAGAGATCCCGCAATGATCCCGCAGAGATCCCGTACCAGCCCTGGCAGAGATCCCCCAGAGATCCTGCAATGATCCTGCAATGATCCCGCAGCGATCCCGGCAGAGATCCCGCAAAGATCCCGCAGAGATCCCGCAGAGATCCCACAGCGATCCCGCAGAGATCCCGCACCAGCCCTGGCAGAGATCCCGCAGAGATCCTGCAATGATCCTGCAATGATCCCGCAGCGATCCCGGCAGAAATCCCGCAGAGATCCCGGCAGTGATCCCGCAGCGATCCCGCAGAGATCCCACAGCGATCCCGCAGAGATCCCGCAGAGATCCCGTACCAGCCCCGGCAGAGATCCCGCAGTGATCCCGCAGAGATCCTGCAATGATCCCGCAGCGATCCCGCCCCTCCCCGGGGCTCAGCCTTCTGCTGGCTGGGAGCTGGCGGTGCCGGGGAGGCCGTGGCCGGGCCGGGGCAGCGGCACTCGGGCCGGGATAGCGGCACTCGGGCCGGGATAGCGGCACTCGGGCCGGGATAGCGGCACTCGGGCCGGGATAGCGGCACTCGGGCCGGGGCAGCGCTCGGCAGCCGCCAGCTGCTCTCCAGGGAGGCTGCGACCTCCGAGCGTGACCTCCGAGGGACGCAGGGACTGGGCTACAGAAAACAGGAGGAAAAATATTTGCTGCTCCCTGCGAGTTCATTTAAATTGAGGACTCAGCAAAAGAACACTTAATAGATGTTTCTTGCCTTTGATGACTTGACCAAAGCTGACCCAGTGCAAGGGAAAAATGGACACGTTCTGCTCTATTTGCTGCAGTCAGTAAAGATGCAGAATATTAAAAATAAAGTGAAGTTAGAAAAATTACAAACTTATCAATGTTTGAACACGGCTTAAACCCACACAGGAGTGTATTAAGCTCTTCAGAGACAGTCTCTGCACAAGGACAGTGCAAACACCAGCTTAATTCTGTGCCAACATCCACTTTTATTTTTAAATGTATTCTACAATATACATGTGAAAAATAGAAGTGCTTGAATGGCACAAGCCAATTCAATTTGATAAGAGGTCTGAAAAAGGGTTTTATTTAGATATATGATAAACAGCTTCATGGTTCATAAAAAGACAATCTTCCTTTTGCTGTTTCTGTGTACTCATGCTTGTATCAAACAATTGGATATCGTTATATATGGCCATGTTAAAATGGAATGATAGCAAAAGCACGTTTTAAGGAACAGTAGCTCTAAAAATCATGCTTTGTGCTTGCAGTGGGATAACACTCCTGGACACTTTAAAATAAAGCCTCAGTAACAAAATGATGATAGAAATGACCTGCCTTTTTAAGAGCAGATACTAAAATGTAAGAGAATTGATAGTTTGGCTGTATCCTACCACAGTTGTCAGTGTCTGCTCTGGGAAGGGCCAGGGCTGTCACAGCCACAGTCTGGTTTGGGAGGCAATGTGCACATAAATTATTCAGCACTCTCAAATCTAAAAATCAATGTGGTATGCTGTGTAATCCAGCTTAATGTAACAGCCAGAAAACCCATTTATGAGCAATTTTAGAACAGGCTTTCCCACAAAACCTCAAGGCTGCAGTAGCAACAGGGAACAAGAGGGAGGCTGTGCCCCTGCATGTTATGCACAGGTACCACATGCCATTCTGCAGGTGACAGCAGAGAGCTGCCTGCATCCCGAGCTCCCCTCGCAGGGCAATGAACAAGGAGCTCTGTGTCAAACGGTGACAAAGTGTTATCTTTTACACTGTTCTTGCTCCCTGGAGTAGCAGTACATGCAGCTGGAGCCCTCACACACCTTGCAGTCGTTCAGAGGCCCAGGGGCTGCACCTCCACGACCGATGTACGTGGCAGCTGTGCACAAACAAACAGACACCAACAGTAAATTCATTTACATTCCCTCCAGCACCATGCACTCTATGAGGCCTTCAATAATTAATACTCTAGCTTATGATGTACCTTTCACCCCAGGATCTCAAAGCACTCTGCAGCGTGTGAGGATGGATTTTTATTTTGCTGGAGTAAATAGGGTAGAGAAAGATTAACTGATTGACCAAGGTCATGCTGCGTTAACGTTTTATTTCTGCTCTAGCTTTTAACTGGATAGCTGCTGTGACCTTGGAAAGCTGGAAGAAAACTGCATTTTAAAGCTAACAACGTCAGGATAATCTCCCCTAAAGTGTACCATATGTTTGTGATTAGGCAAAAGAAAAAGCATCAGAAGAATTGCTGGTCGTGCGGGTGTTCGCAGTGCTCTCCAGGGTATAATAGCTGGGAATTTCAGTGGAGCCTGAGAGAAGTGGATGCAAAGCTCCCCTCCATTTCAAGGAAAAATGGTTACCCAGCATCCCTGGGCTCTGCTGGAAAATCGAGCTTGGTTATGCAGGAAAGTTTCTCAGTTAGAAAAGCTGGGGTGACGAGGTGCTCAGGAACCAACATGTTCTGCTCTGCCTGGCTCCACGCTCCGCACACTCCTCCCACTGAGCCGTGCTCTCGCCGGCTCTGATTCCCCCTACAAGAACTAACCTCAGCAGTATCTCTTTTGGGCCTCTCTGGTAATTTTATCCCATCAGCACTCACAAGCTCACTGAGGGTGTGTGCTCTGGGCTACCCATGGCACAGGCACGTGCTGGGAGCCAGCACGCTGCCCTCCTGCGTGGCTCTGTTCCTGTGCAGCACCAGCCTGACTGTCCCGGGGCTCCAGCTGGGCTGTCATCCTCTTGTAATGAAGATAAACTTAACTCATTGCCAGTGTATTCTCAAGGGGACGAGGATGTTGTCACATTCGACTGTCTTTTCTTACGGCCCTAAATTGATGCTGCGAAGTCACACCAGCCACAAGCCCTGACCAGCAGCCCTCAGACAAGAGCTTTGGGCTGCAGGAAAGGAGCCACTTGACTTGGCACAGAAAGAAAACAATTTTTTTCTTCACGGCTCCCTCAGAAGTGAGTCAGTAGGCCTGACGAACAGCAAACACAAGTTGCCATAGAAACTCGCATGCCTTCCACCAGGCGGAGAAACAAATGTAGGCCAATATTTCTGCTTAGCTGGCTCCTGCTCGGGCTGCTCCTGCCCGCTGCGGCCAGGGCTCCATCGGCAGCTTGCAGCTTTGTGCCCCCAGCTGCACCAGACCCTTTCCCCACCACCTCGGGAGTGCACACACGTGGGCCCACACAGGGACAGGACAGGGCCAGGGGCACAGAGCCGCCGAGCCAGCCCAGGCTGTGGCTGGCAGACCCCACACGGGAGCCCACTGACCAGAGCAGCAGTGGGAAGAGCCCGGGCACCGCAGCCCAAGCCTGCCCAAGCAGCAGCACCTTCCCCAGCCTTCTGCTGGGAGCCTGGCAGGGAGGGCTGGAGGAACAGTGCCTTTGAAACGGAGTGTTTGTGCTGGATTATTCCAGCCACCTTTGATTTAAATATACTCCTGCTTCTCATCTGTAAAAGGGTGAGCCCGCAGTGGGGTGCAAAGGCGTGCAGGTCATCCATGTGTGCAGAACCCTCTGGGATTCCAGAAGAGCAGTGGTTATGTCACATGTGCAATCTCTACTGAACCAGCCTTTGCTTTATTGTGTTCCCTGATCACATGCTATTCTTGGGCTTCACTTTTAATTGCACCACAGGGCAAGTTGCTTTCCTTCTTCCCTTGCTTCTTTGATTTTGGATTACATTTTTTTGTAGATTGCCCAGTGGCCTCCTGGATATTCAGCGGGCTGTTATACAGGAACTGGACTGTAAATAAACGCAATCTAACAAGAGGAAGAAAGACCACTTTCATCCTATTTTTACTGCAATTTTTTGTGACACACTTCTAAGGAAAAAAAACCCCTACACAAAATAGACCTTTGAAACTGCGTTTGGGCACGGGTTAGTGTAAAGCCAGTACTCAGCTTTGCCCACTGGATAGAATCCTCCACCAGGTTCCTGGAGCCCAGGATAACCCAGCCATGAGAGAACAGACAGCCCCACGCCCTGTGCCAAGCGCTGGTTCCATCGGGGCCGTTAAAGGAATGTGACCAAAATGACGGAGAAAGCCTTTTCCTCCAGAGCAGAGCCCAAACCCAGACACCATCATGGAGAGGGTATTTGTCAGCTCAGCTCAGTGGTCTCCAGAAATGTATAATCAGGTTTAATAATTTAATAATTTAAAAGAGCTGCTTGTGGTTAATGAATGGGCTCCGGATCTTGACAGCTGGAGAGACAGGTGGTGGGTGGTAACACCTCTCTTCTGAAAGGGCTTTGCTTTGAGGGCAGAAGGGAGCATCTCAGTTTGTAAGTGATCTATGCTGTTTGGGCAGTGATGTGACTGTTAGGTTTAATATAATTTCAGGTCTCTCCAGGTAAAGAGAGTTTAATGCAATTATCTACTGACTGTGAATGAAGACATACCCATAACACCCAAATTCCTACAATACATTTACTTTAAGACATCTTAGCAGGAAAAGGTTTCTTTTTGCTGTAAAATATTGAGTGAAAGAAAAACGAAGAACGAATGGAACTGTTTTACTCTTTAAAAATGGCTGGAGAGGGTCCAGCCACACTTCTCCCAAGCTGCTGGACTCCAGCAGCCCCCATGCCCAGCAGCCTGTCCTACCTAGGCAGCCCCTCAGTGCTGCCAGGGCTTCTGCAGAGCTCCAGAGGACATGAGGAACTGCTCCCAGAGTGACACCTGGCCTTACTCCTGGGTCTGCTCTGGCTCAAGGCCACACCCTTCTCTGTTTACTCTGACACCACTTGTTTGAGGCTGTTTGGTATTTTCTACCTTGAAAGCTTGTTTTCCATGACAAGATCTGCCTGTTTCAGTGGTGACACTAATGTCCCCCCTGTTTTTTAATAGTTACTGTAACACAGCTAGCTAATAATCACTGGGTTTATTTTAGATACCTGCTTTGGGAGAGCAAGAGTCAGTAAAACTTATTTTACAGCTAAAAATCCCTTCATGAGTTTAATGAAAATAGAACAAAATTCAAGAGAAACTTTGCGATGTTTCCACAGGGGAAGTGAGAGTCTAATTCTGTGGCTGCCACTGCTGGATTCAGTATGTGGGGCACTTCCCGCTGGGAAGGAACGAGTGAGATAGTGTAGAGTTAAAAAAATCAAAGTCCTAAACTTACATGAGAATGAGAACTTGGGACTGTGCTAAAACTCGACAATAATTTCTAGAAGGTGAAAAGCTGGCAAACAGCAAACCTAACTCTGCAAACAGGATCACTGGGTGAGCTGCTGCCCCAGCTCACAGCTGCCTTCAGTCCCCGTGTGTTGGCTGGAGCATGCTGACACTCAGCCTCAGAAACGAAGTTTGCCCTTTGGAAAGTACCAAAAAATCTTTAAAGGTATGTAAATCATGCAGAATTGCAACTGAAAAATCCTTCATTTAGAAGGAAAGCACATCCTTCTCTTTGTGGATTAAAAGGCAGGAGGGAGGTGATCCCTGAGAGCACTGGCTCCAGCTGAGCAGAGCCAGGACTGCCACCCCGAGCTAAAGCCAGGGCTGTGCCTGCTCCCAAAGCTGAGGCAGACCTTGATTATTTCACTGCTTCCCACTATGGCCCAAGAAAAAAGAAATTTAAGGTAACAAGTGGGTATCCTCTCTCTATCTCGATCTCTCTGCTTACAACAATGATTATTTCTCACTGAAATAACCTATGAAGTTCAAAGATATATGTTTGACTAGAAGATTTCAGTTTTTGTAAGAGCAGATGTAGAAAGCATCAGTATTCATACACTGGATTTGTGCCCACTTGAAAGGAAGAGTCTAAAAGAACCACAGCAGAAATTTTATGTTCAGGAATAAGAAGCAGGTAACCAAGTTCTCAGTATGTTGAATTTAAATGTTTCTCTCCACACTGAAGTTACTGGAGCTCCCTTGTACAGAGCTTTACATGTTGAAAGGAAGGGAGTTAATTGGTGAGTGATCAAAGATTTCTGCCTGGTAATTTACAATCATTCCAGGGCAGGATTCCTGTGGAGAGGAAAAGCAGGCATCAGTAGGATGCTAAATGATGAAAGGCTCCTATGGAGGCAGTTATATATTCACCCAAATCTCCTGTAAAAATGCAGCAATCTCCTAAGAATTATAAATTTGCTTTTCTGCAGAGGAGCCTCAGGGTCAGCTCTGTACATCCTCTACCACAAAAATGGAGAGTAACAAAGACTTCTCCCTCCTTTCTGCACTTCCAGTGCCAGCCATCACGTCTCCTTTCCATGCCTGGGTTTTCGAGCCCCTGTGCTTGCCATTACCACGTGAGGGATTTTAATAGCACGAGTTGCATGAGTAAAACTACTTGTATATAGCAACCTGCAAAGACCCACCACTGCCCTCAGAGCCCTCCCATCCCTAGACATACTGCCTTGGTCACCAGCCTGCACAAGGATGGAAACACTGCTCCTTGGGAAGCACTTGGTGATTTTCCCCCCGGCCAGGCTGGCTGGTGCTCCCACACGGAATGGAGGGACAGGAGGGGAGGGGAGGCTGCTGCCAGCAGCTGGGAGCTGCAGGATTCAGGGGGGCTCTGGGCTTTCTGCACCCAAGGGTGAGCTTTTACATCCCATTCCACTTGGGACAAAAAGTGGTAGACGGCATCTTCACAGCTCTGTCTGTGACTCTGCTCGCACATCTGCATGTCAGTGGGAGCAGCAGCTGCTGCCTCCATGGGGCAGTGAGCTGGGTCCTGCCAGCACGGCCGGCGGCAGGATGGGATGGAAGCACGAGCAGAGCTCCAGCTGCACCCAGCTGGTGTGACCAAGGGCTGTGCACAGAGCCACCTCTGCCCATGGGGCACCCCGAGCTGCCCTGGGCTGAACCATGCTGGGCCCTCGCCAAGGGCAGCCTCTGCCAGGTCCCAGCAGGCAGG